CTTGGAGAAGGGGCATCATGCTGGATAGAGGGACAGCGAAGGAGGGGAAGACCCTCTATGAGGTGGATTGATTCAGTGACTGGGGTAATCGGGATGGATGTGTCAGAGGCAGTGAGATTGGCACAGGATAGAGCACGGTTTAGGGCTGTTGTACATAGGGTCGCTATGAGTCGCAAGCAACTCGACAGCACATAACAACAACAACAAATTATCATTAAGACCATAAAAAAATGACCAAATATCAAATTAAAAAGTAAAACTTATCTGATAATATCTCAATATAACCTACTGCTTTTATCACTTCTTTTCATTATTGAAACAAAAGTACATAGTTAAATATAAATAAAACCTTTGTCTTATCTTGTGCAGCATACATCATTTCAAATTAAAATACATACCCTCTCTGAAATAAATCCACATTGTAGAACTTGTTTAGCTCCACAGAGAATTCTACCATTGCTTGAACTTCGGTCATTTTTAATAGATACCCAGAAGACAAATCTGGTAACAGCACCTTGGTAAAGAAGAGGAGAGAAAAAGTCAATTTACAAAAATATCAATATTTAAACATATTTCAGAATATTCCATTTGCCTCTACAAAATAATGAGGCAAATTAGTTCAATGTACCTAACATAACTATAGGAATCTCCATGGTATTGCAACAGTTTAAGTACTTGTTTGCTAATTAAAATACTAGAAGTTAAAACACTGTAGTTTTCTAGGGAGAAGTGGGTGGTTACTTTAACCTAACTCATGTAAATAGCACCAGAATCTATACTCAGTAAATAGCACTACATTCTATATTTCCTGGTAGAACACCTTTCCTAATTTACTCCATTAAAGATATTTATGTGATAGTAAAAATATAGTAAATAGCACTACATTCTATATTTCCTGGTAGAACACCTTTCCTAATTTATTCCATTAAAGATATTTATGTGATAGTAAAAATATAGCAAATTATGGAGAGAAATTATTTTTATTATTAATACATTTCACAATTGGCCATTCAATTATTTGTACTAATCTCTGTTTTTTTTAAAAAAATTTTTTTTAATACTTTATCGACAGTTTACAGAAAACTTGGATTTCCATTCATTCATTGTTGCACATTTTACTCCCTATCCATCCCCCAGTATCCTTTTCTCTTTAAAAAGATTCTTTCATTGCTGCACAATTTCCTCCTGCCCTCTCTGCTCCTCAGCCCACTTTACTATGCACCTTATTCTGGACTGTTGTTGTTATGTGCCGCTGAGTCATTTGCGACTCATAGCGACCCTATGTACAACAGCCCTAAACCCTGATGTATCCTGTGCCAATCGCACTGCCTCTGACAGACCCATCCCGATTACCCCAGTTACTGAATCAATCCACCTCATAGAGGGTCTTCCCCTCCTTCGCTGTCCCTCTATCCAGCATGATGCCCCTTCTCCAAGGACCTGTCTCTCCTTACAACATGTCCAAAGTATGTCAGGCGAAGCCCCAGAACCCTTGCTTCCAAGGAGTAGCCTGGTTTAACCCTCTCTAGGATGAATCTGTTTGTTTTCTTAGCAGTCCATGATACATTCAATACTCTTCTCCAGCACCACAGCTCAAAGGCATCAATTCTCCTTCTTTCCTCCCTAGTCACTGTCCAACTCTCTGATGCATAACAAGTGATTGCAATGACCATGGCCTGTATCAGAGGCAGTGTAGTCATACAAATAATACCTAATCATTTATTCCTTTTAAACAATTCTTTCCTTCATCTGTTTCAATACAGTGTTTATTATTTATCCTCTCTTTTCTTAGTTTCCCCCAACCCCCATGCCAGTCCTATTTTACAACAGTGGCATTATGCAATATTTGTCCTTTTGTGACTGAGCTATTTCACTCAGCACAATGTCCTCCAGGTTCACTCATTTTGTATATTTTATGAGTTCCTTTACCCCCCCCCCCCCCCCCAGTGCTGCTTAGTATTCTAATGTATACATATACCACAGCTTTTGAATTCATTCATTTGTTGATGGGCACTTGGGTTGCTTCCATCTCTTTGCTATTGTGAACAAGGTGCACATATATTTGTTTGGGTGGCAGTTCTGGTTTCTTTGGGATTGCAGGACAGCTCCTTGCCAGTAGGCCACAGGCCACCAGAACTCCGGTTCTAGTTTCTGTAGGGTATATTTCCAGTAGTGGAATTGCTGGGTCCAATGGTACTTCTATTTCCAACTTTTTGAGAAAGCACCATACTGCCTTCTATAGTAGGTGCACTCCCACCAACAGTGAATAAGGGTTCCAATTTCTCTACAACCTTGCCAGCTTTTGTTGTCTGCTGCTCTGTTGTACTTTGCTATTGTTAATAAAGTGAGATGATATCTCATAGTTGCTTTGATTTGCATCTCTCTTAAGAGTGAGGGACTTTGAACATTTCTTCAAGTATTTGTTTGCCATCTGAATGTCTTCTTCGGTAAAGTGTCTTTTCATATCTAGCGTCCATTAGGCAACTGGGTTGTTTACCTTTATTTTGTTCAGGTGTGGAGACAAATTCTTGACTTTATCCATAGTAGATAATATTTTTTTTTAAAGTTGCTACATTTTCACTTTCAGCTCAGCATTACCCGTAAAGATAATTCCAGACTTTAAACAAAACAAAAAAAACCCACAAAACTATGCTATTTAAATTCATGATTTTTTTCTATTAGATGAAAAAAAGTTCTCAAATCACTTCTCATTTTTAAACTTAAAAAAACCCCTCCCTTCATTATAAATTCCTAAATGTTCATTTTGAAAAAAGATTTAGAAAAATAAACAAATACAGATAATTTTTAAAGCCACAATTCTGTTCACTGAAATACATATAATTTAGTATTTATTTTTTTCTGTGTGCACATTTGTAATTTTTATAAAAGGGGATCAAATTACATTTTATAAACTATTTCATTTAGGTTTTTCTATAAACATCTGTCAGTTAATATAACCACCATTTTTTTTAACCACCATTTTTTTAAATTAACTATCCACTATAAATATATGTATATATTAAACAATTTATTGTTGAATATTTAGGCAATTTCTAATTTGTTCACTCTTTCTAAAAAAAAACTACATAGTAATAATTATTCTTACCAATACCTATTTTAAAAAGTAGTTTAGAGTAAGAAAGCATTGGAAGAGCTTTCCATGGGTCTTTCATACATTACCACAAGAACAAACAAGTCTGTCTTGGAAAAAATGCAACCAAAGATGGTGAAACTTTGTCTCATGTACTTTGGACATCTAGTCAGGAGGCAATAAGTCCTTGGAAAAAAATAAGACGTTGGGAAAGATGAAATATCAGAGAAAGACCCTTAACAAGATGGATTAACTGACCCTTAACAAGATGGATTAAAAGACCCTTAACTGATGGATTAAAGTTACTGTAACAATGAGCTTGAGCATGGCAGAGACCATGGGGATGGCACAGGCCAGGGCAAGGTTCAAATCTGCTGTTCATAAGGTTGCTGTGAGTTATAAATATGATGGCACCTAACAACGTTTTTATATGATATGCAATCACATTCTTCTGGATAATTTTTAAAAATTATTTGTATCCTTACTGTCTTAGGACATAGAGATAATGTCATACTCCAGACTAAAGGAAAGATTTATTTGCCGTCTCATAATAAAAAGTCTCTCCCTCCAAGGTAAAGACTGGGGAAGCTGATTGTCTATTATAAAAGATGTAGGTTTCTTTAGCTCAGGGTTCCTCTCCTACCATACAAATCTACTTCTGATGTGATATGTAGACATTACCTGGCATTCTTTCAGTAACCCTGCAAAAATGAAGCTTGAGGAACCAGCACAACAAATTCTAGTACTCTGGTTACTATTATTGCTGTGAGCATAAATTAGCCTTGTCCTTAAAGGTCTCAGGAGATTCAAGAGTCTCATGTCTACTGCCAACAACCATCATGCTGGAACAGGTTAGCTTGCAAGTAGGATCATATCTCAAATCCTTCACAGTTCTTGAAACAGTTCTTCATAGCAGTTAGGAAAATAATCTAATCTATTGTGAATCAAATGCAAAATAATGTTTTGGTCTTACCTCTGTTTATCAAAATGACATTTAAACATAATTAACTAATTTTGTACTTCGAGTTACTAATTATTTTTTAAAGAATATATTTTTATTCTATTGAGAAAAAGATATAACATCTCAAATAAAATAGCAGATATTAAAATCCACTTTAAGGAAACCTAGATTTGTTATTCTCAATTCACCTAACAGACTGATATCCTCCATATGCTCTGGAGTAAACTCTGGAGATCTATTTCCATTTGATCTGATTATCAGTATTTTATCTCTGTTAAGGATTCACCGGTGTTTACTTCAAAGTATAGTATTATTACACAGAAGAAGTACTAAGCATACTTTCTATGTTTAGTGGCTCAGAAATAATCTTCATGATAACTCAAGACATTATAAGCTTACTAGTTTAAGATGCAGAAATTATCACTTTTAAATGGCTGTTAATTAGGTGATTTATCTCTCTTTAAGTAGGTATATAGGGAGCTCTGGTGTCTCAAGTAGGTAAGGGGTTCTAGTGCCAATCTGTTAGCAGGTGATTCAGATCCACCAGCTGTTCCACTAGAGAAAAAAAAATTATATCCTATGAAAACCTGTTGCAAGGTCAGCTATGAGTTGGTTCTGATTTAACAGCACCTAAAAACAGCATGTATATTTAATGCTATGAGTTGGGTGGGCACATAGGGAGAGCTCTGTTGGCCTAGAGTCAAGAAGCTGCACTGCAATCCCAAAGGCGTGCAGTTCAAATTCACCAGCCGCTCCTCAGGAGAAGCATGAGCAATCTCCTCTTGTGAGATTAACTGCCTCTGAAAACGCGCCAGAATGTCAGCTACAGGTTGGTTCCAACTCTTTGGTACACAACACCACATGTGCTACTATAGGGGCTTTGGTGGCCTTGTCCATACAGAGTTGCACTGTTAACACAAAGGCTGTGCTTCCCTGGCAGTCTGATTCCACCAGCAGTTCTAAGGAAGAAAGATGACAATCTCCTCCTGTGTGATTTAGAGCCTTAGAAACCCAATGAAGGGTCAGTTATGAGTCAGTTCTGGCTCCATCACCAAAGAGTGTGTGAGTAAAGAACTAATACAAAGAACTGAGTTTTCAAAAGGGTGGTATATGTAATACTGGAGTTTTGCTCACATTTAAATTACTGCTTAAAATTTTTACAAATAATTACCTCCTTTGCCCTAATTTTGACTCCAGTGTTTTAGGTCCTTTTGTGTAGGTTGATTGGCATTTCCTGGTTAAGCAATTAAACAATCTTTTTGTTTGGCCTGACAGTTGCTGCCAGTCCTCTCAGTGGTATGCACCTTGCAGGTATTGGTCAATTCAGTATGTAAATGACATGACTATCAACTAAGTAAATAAATTATCTAACGTTTACTGTAAGTGGACTGGTCAGTTCAATTCAAGGCCATACCTTAAAATTGACCTGTTTGTAAAT